ATATGCTACTTCCATATGATCAGTGGCGAATCCAGAAAAAAAAATGAAGGCTGGGCTCAAAGTTAAGTTAACGGCTAGAAAACTAAATCTTATTTTGAAGGTAAATAGACATTACCTCCTAATCATGTTGTCCAAATAAGCTCAAAATTTTCAGATTACTACTAAAAACATTACCTTTTTTACTTTTTTCAAAATTATCATTATCAAAATTTGAACCAAAAATCTGGATCTGTAGCAAACTAGCCAATATCACCTAATTTATTATCAAAATAAGCTCAAACTTTACTAACTAGATTACTATTTGGGAACATGCAGTATTTGCTGGATTTTTTGAAAAATATTTTTTTGAACCAAAACTTGGGTCTGTCTAGCAAAATAGCAAATATCTACCAACCTTGTTGTCCAAATAGGCTGAAATTTTCCCAGATTCCTACTGCAAACATGTACTACTACATGTTTGCAGTAGTAATCCAGTATAAGTATGACATATTGAGCCACTCCTTCTCATCCATTCATAAACGGGCCTTGACTAATTGGGCCCTCTATTGGCTTATTGGCTTGGGCTTCTTTACTTATTCCCTTCATTCTTTAACTTGATATTTTATTTAGTACTATTCCTTTGACTTGTTGACCATGATGGCTTCCTTGGACTTTTTGTTAACCATGATGGCTCTCTTGGACTTCTGTTAACCGTCTTAGACTGGTGTTTATCAGCCATGTAGGACTAATGGGACCCACATATGCGATTAATTATTTCCCACAACAACTATTGTCTGTCCTCAGAATATCCAGGACCCGCCTTCAGTACTTCCCCCAATTCCCCAAGCAAGAGAATTGCAGAGTATACCTATTATCATTGAGTGCTTGTATAAGAACGTGCTAAGCTAACTTCCATGTTGACCCCATGTTCTTGATGAACTAATATTGGATGCACTCCTTGTCCATACATATGTGTCCATACATATGTACTCTAGCCACTGCCATCCAACAAGTAGACAATGCCGACAAGGGATCTTCCTCCTAAAAAAATCACATGGTCCAGATCTTCCTTCCGGAGTCCTAGGCGCTCCATCATGCACCCGGTGTCTTCCTTTCCCGAGGGACTAAAAGACAAACTTGTCGCGTGCCTCTGCCATAAAACCCTAATCAATCTACTATTTGGTGGAGAACATAAAACCTTACCACGACCACACCCCGGGTTTGTCAAGGTCAAGAAGCGGTTCGAGGACTACCCCTGAATCATGCTGAACGGAACCCTTGCAAGCCTAAAGGTATGTTTGGATTGTGTTCAAAAGTTACCCTACCAAAATTTTGGCCATGATGAAAACTTGGTATTTCTTTCGATCATGGCCAATTTTTTGGCATCCCAGTGCTCCTTGCCCCACTCTAGTTCAATTTTCCAAATCATGGGATAGCAAAAACTTGACCAAAATATTGGCAAGCCAAGGCTAAAACCAAACACATGGGAAATTGGTAGGAAAAGAAAATACTTAACACCGGTTAGACACCAACGAGAGAGCGAAATCCTAGTGAGAGGGGAAAATTGTGATCTTATGCTAGTCGTCTCCCGTCACACATGTTGGGTAAAAAACTCCCTGACCACCCACTCCAACTGCATACACACCATCTTGAACATCGGTTAGTACTCCGGCGTAGATCATGTATTAAGCCAATGCACACAACGGTATATAACATGCATAAAGAAGATATTTTGCCATTGAAATCAATATATCATCTCTACTTAGCCAAAGCGGTCATAATAAGACAAACGCTTTCACCCTTATTATAGTGCTAAACCTATTTGGTATCCCCGTCAAGCCCGTGACTATATATATTAGCGTGTTAAACCTATTTTTATCATATACTTCATGTGTCCTATAATATAAGAGTGTTTGTGACACTAGTGAGACAGAGGGAGTATCTAATTGCCAATGTGTCAGGTTTCATAAAAAAAAATTAGTGGGAATACTTGGAAGCAATGCATGCCAATTGTGCATGATTGCTAATTATCGGGAGGGACCGACAGCTAGCGGCGGCCCTGAATTGATTGAAATCAACTCGATAGGTCGTGATTGGAGGTTACTCCCTCCGTTTTGAAGATTTAGGTTTGTTCTAAGTAAAACTTCTTTAAATTTAATCAAGTTTATAGAAGTATACATCATCAAATGTATATAGTATAAAATTATAATTTACGAAGAATCTAATGAAATTAGTTTGATATAGTTGTAGATCTTGTTATATATTTTTCTATAAGACCTGGTCATACATAGAGAAGTTTTTTTTAAGGGCAAAGCAAAGCTTTATAAATTAACGGTGTACGGGCAAATCACCCGTAACACAAACAGCCACAGCGGGCGGTACATTCGAATCCCACTCGATACAGCTATTGAAGCTACACGAGCGACCGAGTTTTGCTAATTCATGAGCTATAGTATTCGCATTGCGACAACATGTGTTAATGGACTGGTTGGAGAACCACATCTTCAGCTGAAATTTGATGTCCTCGATGATGGCCACATGCGATGATGCGTCCGCCTTCGTGAAGTCTAGCGCTTCTTGGAGTAGTTTGGAGTCCGTCTCAAAGATCGCCCCTAGTGCACCCACATCAACAGCCATCGAGATTGCTTGGGACATGACAATCACTTCTGCAACAAACGGATCGGCGGTATGTTCTGTGCGACCAGCTCGCGCCAGTAACACTTCTCCCGTGTGACCCCGGATCACCACTCCCCACGTCATAAAATTCTCTCCTGGCGTGAAGGCACCGTCGAGGTTGATCTTCACTCTATCATGTGGCGGGGGCTGCCATTTGCAATCTGGAACGGGTTTTGTTTTCGTTGTAAACAGCTGCATATACTCCAAGGTGTTGCTCATGGCGCGCCTGATCAGATCGGCCACCTGGACAGGTAGTTCTCCCTCCCTGACTTTATTTCTATTATTCCACCAATGCCACCAGAAAGTGAGGATTTGCACTCGCGTGTTTTCATCTAGCCCCCATAGAAAGTCATGCATTGCATGTACGGACGTAAACTGCTCTAGCTCAGCTCTGAATCGTTCCAGTTGCATGGCTCTCCAAGCTTCCTTTATGGATTTGCACTTGACAAAAAAAATGAGCTCCATCCTCGTCCGCTCGACCACAAAATAGGCATTTTGTGGACTCCAGTTTAACTCCTCGCCGGGTCAGATTTGTGCGAAGTGCCAAGGACTCATGTTTGATTCTCCAAGTAAACATTTGGATTTTACGCGGGCATGACAGCTTCCAGATCCTCTTCCACGACTGTTCCGGGCTTCTCTCAAGGTTGCCAGCCGTCATGTCACTGCTCCCTGGTACCCCGCCCTGCTCTTCCCTCTCGATCTGAACCTGCAACTTGTACGCGCTCCGGACCGAGTGATTGCCTTTCTTGTCAAAGTGCCAATCCCTGAAGTCATCCACCCCCTCCTGTAACGGGATTTTGAGGATATGGCTAGCATCATCCGGCCAGAAGGTTACCTTTACCAGGTCCTCGTCCCCAAACCCTGTGAGAGGGTTGATAAGTTCATTGACCGAGGTTAACAGGCTATGTCCTCTTGCGTGATGATTCGTCGAGACCATGCCCGGGGTATCCAAGGGTCAGACCAGATGTTCACGTTGGTGCCGTCTCCGATCCTCCATATGTAGCCCTTTTTTTACCAATTCCAGGCCTTGGCACTGCTTCTAGGAGCTCACAGTGAGGGAAGTATCGGGCTTTGAGGATTCTGCCACACAAGCTATCCGGGTTTTGGAGTAGGCGCCAGCCTTGTCGTGAGAGCATAGCGAGATTGAAGTTGTGCATGTCCCGAAACCCTAAACCTCCCTCCGCTTTTGGTTTCGTCAAGGTGTCCCAACTGAGCCAATGCATTGTATTCTCCTTATCCTGATGACTCCACCAAAACCTCCCAATGAGTGTGTTTAGCTCTTGGCAAAAAGTCTTTGTGAGATCAAAGCACGACATGGGGAAGGTCGGAATCGCCTGTGCCACGGATTTCACCAGGGTTTCTTTACCACTCTTCGCTAGTAGCCTTTCTTACCAACCATGAACTCGCCCACATAGGCTCCTTTTGATGTATGCAAAAGTGCGTCGACGGGACCGCCCAACGTGGACAGGAAGCCCAAGATAGCGATCCTTCCAGTCCTCACTGGTAATCTGAACCTCAGCCTTGACTTGATCCTTCACGGCCACGTCAGTGTTGGGCGAAAACATGATAGCCGATTTTTCATGATTGATGCATTGACCCGAACAATTTTCATACAACTATAGTATCTCATGGAGAGCAGCGGCTTCTTCCTGCTTTGCCTTCAGAAAAATCACCGAGTCATCGGTGAACAAAAGATGTGAGACACTGGGAGCATTTTGGCAGATCTTGACGCCACTAATTCTCCCCTGCTCCTCAGCTTCATGCAATAACGCGGACAAACCTTCAGCACAAATAACAAAGAGGTAAGGGGAGAGTGGATCCCCCTACCTCAGCCCTCGTGTTGGCACAAATTGTTCAGTTAACACTCCATTCACTTTGATTTGGTATCAGACCGTTGTGACGCATTTCATGATGAGTTCTACCCACCGTCTATGAAAGCCAAGTTTGCATAGCATTGCCTCAAGGAAACTCCACTCCACACGATCATATGCCTTGCTCATGTCCGCTTTGATCGCAGCCACCCCTTCCTTCCCATTTTTCTTCTGCCTAAGAAAGTGAGAAGCTTCATATGCTATTAACACGTTATCTGTAATCAGCCTTCCGGGTATGAACACACTCTGGTTCTCTGAAATGATCTCTGGGAGCACCACCTTGAGCCTATTTGCCAACACTTTGGGCCGTACTATTGAGATTTCAGAAGCATATCAACGTGGGTCGTGGACCAGGCCGAGGGAAGCACATCAAACCAATATACGTGAAAGTGTTCCCCAAGGAAAAAACTCACCGATCGCCTTCTCCTCCACATCGTCTCGCCGCCGCAGCACCCCCACCCCACCCGTCCGACGATGCCACCGCCTGACGCGGCCACAGGCGCCCTCAGCACACGCGTCTGCGCCTTCAGGCTGCACCCCAATGTCGTCCGCAACTTCTTCGTGCACCACAACCGCGTCAAGGACAGTAGCTTCTTGTCGTCGGAGGATGTCTCGAGGATGTCTGGGTGCGTCATCGGGATGAAGAGCAGGCGGACGGTTGAAATCGTGGACAGCCTGGACCTCCTGCTCGACCCCGTCTCAGGAACCCTCTGCCGCGCCTTGCTGGAGAAGAAGGAGCACTGTAAGCTGATAGGTATTTTCAGGATACCCAATTACCCAGCCTCATCAGAATCCTCCCAAGGGTTTTGTTGGGTTTGATGAGGCTTGCTTGTTGGGTTGTAGTTCTGCAGACAAGAAGCGCTTTCCTGGCTCCGTCGTCCTAGGGTGGTACTCTTCTGGGACTCGGAGCGCCGCCATGCAGGACATCGACATCCAAATCCACAAGGCCGTGAGTATTTACTTGAACAACCATTTATTTGTTCAAGTGCTTAATCCGTGTACTAACGCAAAGTTTATTTGTAGCTCAGGCTACATGGAACCTCTTATCCTCAACCCTACAGCCTTGCTTTGAGATCCGTACTCTTCAACTAACTAACAATAACAAGATTTCTCTTTTTTGTTTCTCTAAAATGAAACAACTTATGAACTTCAAACTTTGCAGATCGAACAAACATTAGGACATTAATGTGTGAAAAAACTTTCAGATTTTTTGGTCTGATATAAATATACAAAATGAGATTTTGTTTGAATAAAAATATTATTTTAAGTATTTAAAATGCATGAAAAAATCTGAAAGTTTTTTTCCAGATTATAGTTAGAATGTATTGTTGTTCTGCAAAAATTGAAGTTTATATGTTGTGTCATTTGAGAGAAACAAAAAAGATAAATGCGCCTGCACGGATCACGATGCATAAATGGATGGCAAAGATAAGGGATACCATGTAGCCTGAGCTACAGAAAACCACACTAATGCACACTGTGCAATACCTTTTAATCGTTGACCCCCTGCATATATAGACTTCTAATACTATTTTTATCTAGTTGATGGATGCTAAGGGAAGAGCTTTTTATCTTCTATTAGATCCTGCAATCAAGCCCCCGCAGATGGATCTCCGTGTATGTATTTATGACTCTGGTGAGTGAAGTTTCGAACCATTGAATGTATTGCAATTGACTTCTTTTGATCCTTAGTCCGATCTACCCTGAATTTGTCATCCTATTAGCTTCAAGGATTTTATATGTGCTGCATTGACTGCTAGAGGTTTGATTATGGGTATACATCAGTTATGCATGCACAATGCAAGTAACTTTTGTGAATCGTTGTCTAGCACTCGACATCTTATTTGGATTGCTACTGTTTTTTTTATGACGAAAAACAGCGAGCGCTGATTTCATTTCATTAAGAGAAAGGCCAAGAAGGCCAGGGGTTACAAGTAAAAGTTAGAAGCTAAAATGTACAGTACGATGGGGTTAGTAGTGAGTAGTCTGCCTATGCTTCAATCAGGGGGAAACCACATTGCCCTCACCAAGCCTGCATTGGACTATTGACGTAGTTCGTCGTTGATCAGTAAGATGACGGTAGTTCATCTTATTGAATTGTTACTGTTATATTCTAAAAAAAAAGAAAATTGCTAATGTTTTAGAGCAACAAATGATATTTGTTTAGTCGCCTAAAGATGTACTCTTGAAATGACGATGTTTCCTACTTCATATATAAGCTAAATCCTCTTTCCACTTACTTTGTTATGATATATACTGCTTTTTCCTACAAATGTTCATTTATCTATTTGCTAAGTTCCTTCCCATATGCCATTATTTAGCCGCATTATGTTCTAGTATGATACACATAGCATAGCACTAAGTTCTTACCTCACAAGTGTTTTGCATTGTGCTAATGTTCTTATCTAGTTTTCTTTCGTGTATTTATGATGCTAATACTTTTTTTATCTTCTGTAACTTTCAAGTGTTGTGCGCTACCGATGGGAGTCCTCAGCTCAACCTTGTCAAATTTAACTGTACCATTGAGGTTGGTGTTCTCCTCAAGTGTTTGTTTAGTTATAGGTATTTGCTAATACAAGCATATTTGATTAAATATTTTAGAGCCAGAGAGGATATCTACAGACCGTGGCACTGGTTTCAAACGATGTTTCCTCGGTCCAAACCGGGCCCTTTGTGATGTGAATCTACTGCCTCTTGAAAAAAAGTAAGTGCATACTTTCTTTCCTTCCTCTGAGATATGGCTTGAACTGCATTATACATAATGTGATATTGGCAAATGGTTGCTACATCCCTAAATATGCCACCATCTTTATGCCCGAAAATGGAAGAATAGTGATGATTAACCCTCCTAATCTCATGATAGTGAGAGGGCGGCGGGAAGCTATTATGATTCTTTGGTCGTTGGCAATTTCATTGAATTGCTTTGGTCTTACTTGCACTTGCAGAGACGGTGCACCTCCTAAGCATCATTCATTTAGGATGATGCTGCTTGAAACTCCGTCAGGTTTTGCCATGTTCAGTGTTTCAGCGCGATTTCTTCAGTACCCTGAGGTACCGCACTGTCCTCCAGGCTCCGGCCTGGTGTGATTTATAATCCATTTTCCTTCCCTTAAATATGAGCCCTACACCTTATCCCTCATAGATTTTTTCTTTTGTTTTTACAGGAGATATGGGCACTAGTAGAAAAAGGGTCAAACGTGAAGCACATTAGTGCTGGTTTGAATTTGATCCGGCACTAATGGTATCATTAGTGCCGGTTCGAACGACTATGCATTAATGCCGGTTCGTGCTGAACCTTTAGTACCGGTTCGTGCCATGAACCTATACTAAAGGAGTGATGGCAGGCTGGCGTCAGGCTGGGGCCCCACGATCACCTTTAGTACCGGTTCATGTCACAAACCGGTATTAAAGGGCTAACCTTTAGTACCGGTTTGTGCCAC